GATCTATCAGCATTTTCTTTATATGTGGTATTCTTATGTGTTTCAACATTTTCAAGATCAACTTTAAATAAAATCATATATTTTTTTTATTATAAATCAAAATTTAATGTTAAATTTTAATATTAAATTTCAAATAAAAAAACGATTAATCTGTTGATCCTAAACTTAATAGTTAAAATATTTTATGATAAATGATGCTTCGAAAATGAAGATTACAAAGATATACAAATGGTTAAAAAATAAATAAATTTTAATTTATTATTAAATTTATTATTAAATTAAATTTAATAATTTTTTAATAAATGTATAATTTGAAATTTACTTGAGATATGTGAGTAAAATATTATATGAATTAGCTATAATTCTTATATATATATTCTTATATATATTCTTATATATATATATCTCTTATATATATCTTATATTTTATATAACTCTTTAGAAATAATAAATAAATTTTTCAAAATTTTAATTGTTTATTCATTTCATTTATTATTTATTTCATTCTATAAAAAAGATTTATCAATTAATTTTTTAATTAAGGATATAATATTTGTTATATTATTAATAATTCATTTTTTATTAAAAATCCATTTTATTATTATATATTAATATACATTAATAATATTGAATTTGTCGATGTATTCTCCTTTCAATTTTAATAAACTTGAAATATATATATATTGATATGTTAATTTTAATAATTTCTAAAATAAAAAAATAATTTTATCGAATCAGTTAATAATAATATCAGTTAATAATAAATGATAAAAACAAGTTAATAAAAAATAACATATTAATATTTCTATTTACATTTTAAAACTATTTTCATGAAATATGTAACATCTCTTATAAAAATATTTGATATTATAATATCTTATATGATTCAACTATTAATATCTTGTATAATTTATAATGTTTCAGAATGGACAGGATATTAAGAAAAATGAATGTAATGTGGCGATGACAAGTCTGATTTTGGAAAACGCAGATTTGAACCGACTTTTCCCAAAATGTCGGCCTAGGGGTGGTCCACCCCCGAGTCCGGGGGCCTCTACACAGATTAATCAGCCGCATGAGAGCCTCTGTCAAAAAGAGGCCGTTTCTATTACCACCAGCCTCACAAATATTTCCGCGACGACATTCACGAACACTCTTACGATTACTACCCTTGCAATTGCTTCCAAGAACACACTTTCAAAGCATTCACGTCCGATATCTGAAGACATGATCGATCTCGAGCGTGATATCTCCGATAGGTAAGCTTATATTATCAATCATTAATTTATCAATCATTGATTTTTTTCAATTGTAAATAATGAATTACGAAATTTTTTATCTTATACTAGTTTAATTTAATTAATATTTAAATAATATTATTAAAATCAAAATTTTTGAAATATCGCATAATAGATTATAAATTATAATAGTAATTTTTTTTTAATTAGTGTAGTAATTATAATAGTAATTTTTTTTAGTGAAATATCACTTTAAGAATATGAAATCAGTTTTTAAAATATTTTCTTTATTTTTTTTTTTTAAATATAATTTCTTTATTTTTTTTAAATATAATTTTGTAATGATATGAAATAAAACAAAATTTTAAATTATATATAAAACATTTAAATTTTAGTGGTCTGTAAAAAATATTTTCAAGAAATTTTATATTAAAAAGGTAATATAAAAATAATAAGAATTTAAAGATTGATTTCAATTCAAATAAAGCTTTTTGAATTACAAATTAAATTTCACTATAAGATAAAAATATGAAGATTTTTAATTGATATATTGAAATTTATTATATTAAAATCTAATATTAAAATTTATATTGTTAGAAATATTGTATAATTTTTGATTCTAATTATTTATAATTTTGTATATTATAAATTATA